CCCAAGGAATTGAAGAACTTGAAGAGGAACATCTTCTTCCTGATTCTGATGGACCAGTTGAATAGTGAAGAAGGGACCAGTTATTCCCCACAGCAGTTAAAGATGTGGCGCCAGAAAGCCCATGCTAACTTACTTCATATTACAGCTGTTTGGGTAGGCCATGTACTGGAGAAACATACATACTCAAAGGGAAGTAGTGACATTTTACTGGAACCTGGGAATGTGTACCTTACAGAACCATTAAGCCCAGAAGAACGGGATACATTATCAAATTTCCCCAACTGTATTTGCCCAATTTGCACTACCTTAGAACAACGGGCCCAGAACGCAGAAGCTCACCTGAAGGAAATTGAAAGAATAGAAGTTCAGTCGTGGGTAACATTCCCACTAGATTAGTTTTTCCCTAGTTTCCCCAAAAGTTTTTCCAATGAATAGTGTACCTGCAGAGGAACGCTTGTTGCGTGAAACGCAAGCAGCCTGCTTAGTTTTACTTGTACATCACATACACTGTTCACATGCCACTCTATTTTCTGGATATTTACTGACTATTACTGTACTATGGGATTTGGGATACAAACGGCTGGTAAAGAGACATTGCCCCACATGTTATTTGCTGTTTCATTGGTTACTGCGCGCTGAAGGACAATCAATTGAGCCGGAACCTAAATCAATGACGGAACCTTAATTTCGGCAACAGGAAGAATGCAAACCTTAAATAACTTAAAACCCTAGCAGCATTAATAAAACGGACATCGCCTTTTTCATTCACAATTCATTCAGGGGTTAGATTGCAGGGACTTTCAATTTTGCCTAGTATAGTAATACTTTAAATCCCTGAAGACCCTGTACAACTTTCATATATAGGATGCCAAAATTTGAAGGTGTTCCTCAGTTTTCCGCTGGCACATAACAGCGCTACTCAATATCACTCTTTTTCTGGCTGCAAATCACTCCTCTCTTTCTTTAACTATGCTCTTCCGCCGTCATCCCAAGTCATTTGTCGACCTGACTCATCGGCACCCTATCATCCTAACCAAACCGGATGCATACACTTCCGCATCTGACTGCTGCTGGACGTACTACCGAATTTGCTGCACCTATCACGCCACTTTTTCCCTCGGCCAAATTGTGCGCCTAGAGGACCAGTCCAAATTCCACCAGATCTTCACTGGCCGAGTTTCGGAAGTAGTGGAGCACTACAAGGACGTCTTTGTTGTGCATGTCACTTCATTGGACTATGAACCCACTAATCCACTCGCTCCACCGCCCATTCGTCTTACCCTGTCTACTCACGTCCTTTCCCTTCCCAAACACCTTCGCTTTCTATGCTGGTGCAAGAAGTGCACCAAGTGCCTCAGGAAATTCAAGGCCACAGAGCCAGACACAATTATGCAGTCCCTTGAAGACTTTCAGAAGCAGTTGGACGGAATGGATAGCTTTGGGAATAGTGTTGTGGAATTTGGAAGTGAAATTTTGGTACGAAGCTCTCAGGATCGCCGCTATGATGAAATATTAAGCCTTGTTAGGGGTCTGGATCCACTGCCTGATTTCTTCTAGTTGACAAGTACACTCTTTTTCATAGCTGATTAGTTAGTCTTTTTCTTGGTAGTATACATCATTCCTTTACGGTCGGCATTTCCGTATACTACGTGAGATAGTTTTTTTTTCCACCAACCAAACACATACCATAACAACTGTAGTCCACTATGCGAGTCTTGAGACTCATTTTGTACACCATTTATGCACTTGCTCTATACATTCTAGCGAGCAGACATACGGGTTACGTAGAGATTGTTGAGGACGATATCTGCGCAAGTACCACAATCTGTCTTGGAGGACAATGAACCGTGCAACACGAATCGAGCAAGGCTTGGAGGTGAATCCTCAGCCTGAACCTGGCTTCTTACCTACTCAATGCCTTCGCCTTGGTCAAATATATTCAAATGAGGAACATTTTCAAAGCCAGCTGACTATAGCTGAAAGTCAGATTGATCGGTTAGGAAGTTCATTTACGTGGCATGCAAGAGAAATGCATCCACATGGAGACCCACATTATCAGGTAGACGTGCGACCCTATCGTGGAAGAATAAGAGGTGCATACCTTCTCAGGTGGCGATGCCCTACATGTGAATACATATTCATAACAGCACAAGACTTGAATCATGCACTTGATGAGATAGAAGAAAAACTACGGGTTATCCAGCAGGAAGATTTCCAAGCAGAACTTCCAGCAGTGCCTCAAAATCATATTATGACTGACCCATTACGATACCCTTTCCCTAATACAGAAGACGAACCAAGCTTAGCTAGGTCTTGAAATACCCCCACCCCCTGAAGTCTGCAATCGGGAACGATTGATTTCTCAGTTTCCACTAGATGACCTGCACCAAACTAGTTCGGTGCATGGATGACTAATACTCTCCTATGAGCCCTATGCCCTATGAAATCATTTTTCCTGTGATCTGAAGTCAGACTAAGGTTAAGGGAATATTTTTCGCTTTTTTTCATTTTACAAGATTATACACGAGTGGACTGAATATTTTTGTACATTTAATTTTGCAATGAGTTTTGCTTAGTCAGCCATGAGGATGACTCAGAAAGATTCTCACACATATCAGGTGACTATGAAAAATATGTTTGCATAAGATTACCCTGTGGGAAAGCTTACAAATCCTTAAATACACATCTTATGTCATTATGCTACCAATCAATTCATCAGCCACAGATTGCACAAACATATGTACACAATATGTAATCACTTTCTCACTCTTTGTCTAGCTGAGTCATCAAGGGACACCTGACCCATGGGCTATACACAGCTCTTGCTGACTCATCATTATACTAACGAGAGTTATGAATATTTACTTTTTGACTCAAAGATATTGTGTGACTTGGTACTATCACAGTAAAGTTACAACTTTAAGTATGAGAAACTAGTAGTATAGCCACCAATTTGTCTATATAAGGAGCTGTTTCTTGCCCAATAAATGCATGCCCAAGTGCCACTTTTACCCTCTCAGAATAAAATTGTGAGTGAAGTGTGAACCAGCATTCAGCAAGTGTGGTTCAAGGTTGGAGCTCACTGTGCTCAACAACCAGCACAACATATCTGAGCTCACTGTGTTGAACATCTAGCACATACCTTGAGCTCACTGTGTCTGACAACTAGCAAGACTAGTGTTCTTTTTTTTATTTGTGTTTTTCTCTTTTTGTTTTATTCTGTGTCTCTGTGTCTGTGTCTGTGTCTGTGTCTGTCTCTCTCTGAGATTGTCTCTGTGATTGTTTTTCTTTTTATCTGTCTCTCTGGAAACATGTCTGAGATTTGTGACTGTGAAACTAACATCTCTGTTTCTCTGTTTCACTCTCTCTGTCTCTCAAGTTTGAGTGTGGTGTGTTGGTGACTGTGTGTGCTGACCATCTCTTTTGATCGCTGTCTCTGTGTGTCGTGATCGTTGTTGCTAACAGTCTCTGTGAATGTGACTGTGTTGGTGTTTCTGTTGTAGCAGTCTGATTGTGTTGTTGTTCCTTCCTATCAACTTTCTCTCAAGTATCAAAGTTTCAGTCTCATTCTTACCCAGAAGTTTGGTGTTGTCTCTTTTGTCCACTGAAGACTTAGGATAGTCTTGTGGGGAGACTTTAGGTGTTGACAGTGAATCGCTGACCTCAGACATCTGCGTGTTATACTGGGCCAACATGGTCATTTGCGAGTTAGGCTTTAGCTATTGAAAAGGGGACTTGGTATTGAAGTCCAAGGCCGCCCGTTCCTGAGTCTGTTTGAATACTCATTGTGAGTTCCTTGGCAGCAGGTTCAATATTAGGCTAAGAGTGCTATGGTAGCTCTGACTAGGTCTGACAGTAGTCTCACCTGTTTTGTTCTTGAGGGGGATTATCATTGTAACTCCACACAACTTGCTGCACTAAGTTTGTGTACGAATCATTGTTGCTGTGTGAAGTGTTAGGAGGAGTGTCTGTTTGTATTGTGTCATCTCTATACTGTTAGAGTGACTGTGTCTCTTGATATTTTTGCTGTTATTTGGTTGTTGTTGTTGTTGATCGCTGACCAATCGGGTTCTGTTTCTGTTATCATTGTGCTTCATATCCATACTGTTGGATTGACTGTTGACTGTTGATTGTTGACTGCTGACTGTTGTGCAGAGCTATACATTCCTGACTGTACCTTAGGAGCAAAGACAAGCCACCCACGAACGACCACGTTATCAGTCATTAGTATTTGTCTGAATCGCTGACCGTGGAGGTATTTGGTTTTATAGGTGTTTATCTATAGATCATCTATCTAAGAAGACACCGTGGGGCCTTCAAGTTTGCATCAAATGTACTAGAGGCTGTAGTCCTTCGTCAAACCACTGGCCGTATTCTCAAATTCAGTATTCACTGACTGTGATTCGCTCTCCAACCTGCAAATGAGGGTTTTCATTTGCGTTGATGTTGATTCAATGTGAGTATTTCGCATCAGTACATACCGTCATAATCATCTGACTATTATTTGTCAGGTGCTCTCTGGCCTGCAAAGAACTTTCATTTGCACTGACGATGAATCAATGTGGCCATGAGTCATTTTCATTTGCACTGACATTGACTCTGAATCAATGTCAATGATGTATCACTGACTTTGTCTGCTGATCTTTGGATACAGTCATTTTCTCAAGCCAAGTATTGGTCAGGTGAGTCCAACCTCCGCTGAGCGATTGGATATCAAGAATTGAATCTGCGAAGGTGCTTTATTCACCGACACAGAGCTGTCCAGAATGAAATAACTCCACAAAAATGGGGTTAGTAATTATGCACGAGTTTGCCTCGAGTCAATAAAGGTCACACTAGACTTCAATGCAGTGGAGATCTTCAGATGGCATTTGTGAAATTTTGGGTAATCTGACAACACAAATTGTAAGCTTTAGGTGGGGTCTTAAAAGACCATCAGTATAGTACTCATCATCACACCAACTCATCACCTAAAAAATTATCATTGGCCTTCCTCCATAATGTCCTTACAGTTCAGAGTGGGTCATATCTACAGTCCTCCCACAGTTGGGAAGGATGCAACTATCTTTGACTGGTTTAGTTGCTCGGTAGGTTCTCAACTTTCGACGTGTTCTAGGCTGACTCAGATGTATGACTATTCTAGCAACACATAGTTGAAACCCTCAAGGGGGCTTTCCTCAAGGTGGCTCATGTGCTACCTTCACAAGTAAATCTGCTGACCATGGACACAGAGGATGCATATGAATCTGTCTACATGGTAGGTTATATTCTGAGTCTGTCAAAGTACCGCTGAATTCCTCTACAGGATATATGCCAGCAAGCAGATCTAACAGTAAGTGCTTTGATCAAGGGTTTAGAGGGGCTCGTTAATCACCACTCATGTTTCACTAGCCATTCACCATCCCATATGGCTGGAAGCAACTCTGGGTATATATGGACAATGATCTCATAACAAGGCCTGTGATTCAAGTGTGTACACAATATATTGCGCTGAGATGAGTTGTTGACTCTTTGACAGAAGGACATTGAGCCAGGGCGCAATATTGTCCTCACTGATCATTGTGCCCCCCTCAGTGGCTCTCAATTCAGTGATGCTCCAAGCTGGGTTGATACCGGGTTTGATGAAGCATTTTTGGATGACAATTTCTTGTCTGCCATAGGTTCATTCAAGCCTGATGGCGAATGGACAGGCACAGAGACATTGGTGTTTGGGATTGGATTTCAAATGTCTGCTACAGGAGATTACATACTCCCTTCAACCTCTGCTGCAGCAAACATGGAGTTACATCCCCTAGTTCCTGTTACAGTAAGCACTGGGTCGAAACATAATACAATGCCTCCCGAGCTGACAACTTTCCTTCCAATACTGATTACTGGTATCGCTTTGGCGAACAGCCCTTTGCCAAAGTCGCACTATGTAATTTGCGATCCGGCCCTCTTCACACGAGGTATCGAGTACACTAATGAGACCCTTGAAATCACCTTTCCTGTGGCAGCTGCATGCATCCGTGATGCCACCATTCTTGCTAGGCAGTGTTTGACTACTCATGGCATACAAGAAAATTCATTCTGTATAGCCTGCAAGGACTTCATCATCGAAATGATGACAGTCACAAAGCATGCTGGCCAGCCGGTCGAGCAAGGTAGGCATAAACAAGAGTAGTATTTGTCTCAATTCAATTACCTTTTGACAGGTTTCAAGTGTCGGGATACCAACAAGGTCAAACCCTTGGATATGGTGTGTAAAAAAATGGTTGATCTTGTATGTTTTGGCCTTATATGATCGTGATATTAATTTGTATCTTACAGAAATATTATCGTTGGATGCCAATCCTAGTAATTCTGGCACTTTGTATTTTGCAACCGCTCAGAGTGCAACACCGCTTGCTATTAGATCTTTTCCCCACCCAGTATGGGAGACTTCCAGAGCATTTGATAGCCAGTGCATGCAGGATGGTATGTGACTCATCTGCAAGTTGAAAACCGACTCTTATACTTTCCACAGTATACCATTTTCTTCAAGTGTCGACTTCCTGGATACCCGCCAAGTGCCCAAATTTCAACCGATGATTTCGAGAAGGAAGCAGACCACCAGCTACAGCTCCTAAGGTTCATCTGCCAGCACACGAATGAGGAGGCCCATAGGCTAAATACATGGATCAATACCCGGGATGGCCCGGGTGGGTGGTTGCAAGACCTGTAAGTAGACTTCATTCCGTTGTTTTAAATACTTGGTCTCAAGTGCACAGCGTGTATGTACTACACTTGGTCAATCAACAATGAGGTGTCGGTGTATAGACTTTGACTCGATTATTCCATCCTTGCCAAATAGTCATTTTTGATGCTGCTTGTTGTTATACATGTACTAGTACTACAATTCAATTGGTCTCTGGCTGCTCGCTCACTGACGTTATGCATAGACCTTCATTCCTCCTGACCCTCCCGCCTCCCAGTAGCTTGTGTGCCTGACTTGACTCTAAGGCCGCGGCCATGAAAACAAGGGAAACATCAACAAACCCTGCAATAAAAAATAAAGGTCCAGGATGATCTATCCTGAAACCAGTTGGGTCCGCTGAGCCTCATGAAAGTGACATGCGCGATGTGTCAGCGCTAGCTATAAATGAAATCTCCGACTGGATTGAGCCGGATGGCTGACAGATAATAGTACTGCTGGAGCTTACACACTGTCACTGAATTGCGTAACGTTCGACGAATCCTCTCCACCCTCTTCGGTTACAGGCTGTACTTCCGTAATTGACAGTAGCTCGTTATTCTAACTTGATTCCTAAAACAGAATTTGCAGTCACCCACAAACTGCAGCAAATATTGCGGGGCAAAGGTATTTAGAGTCGCAGTCATAGCAGTTTTTTTTCTTACCCTACCTTGCACTTATTGCACCAGATTGCCATGTCTGAGGACCAGCAGTCTTGTGGCCAATGTCGTAAACCAATTGATGCCCTACAACTGGGGCCCAGGAAAAGGCCATGAGTAGCTATATTTTCGGGAAGCAATCCAGCTGCTGATGCTCATTACAATGATATTCAACAGCAGTGCGACGGATCCGTTGGTTCATTATGGTCGTCATTTCGGGAGAACGGTCCATGCCCTTTGCAACTTCCAAGCCCTTCTAACAAACAGAATTCTACGGATGGGAGAATTAGCTGATGCTCCAGAGGAAAACTTTACAGCCAAGTATCTTACTTTCCTGCAGAGTTGTGTGCAGCCCATTTAATCGTTTGTATATTCTAAGGGAACAATGTGAGCATCATGTTTTCCAAGAACTTCTCAAATCTGTGGCAGGCCTGGAAGAGTGTTTGATGCAAGGCGGAGATGATGAGGTTGATGCTGTCGCGGAGCTGGCAAGTATCCTGTTTTCTACATCTGCAAAGTTATCCATTTATCTCACATATCATGTCAGCTCACCAAAGGCGCATCTGGAGCAAGAGGTGATGATACAAAAAGTCTCAAAGGCAGTGTCCTCAATTGGATTACCCCAAAGGGACAAAATCTCATTCCTCCTCTTGCTCGCGACATGAAAGTCGACTGCGGTTTTCACCATGAACGGACAGGTGTGTTACTTTTTCCTGCTGGCCTTGACTGGTCTAACTCTGAGTGTGTGGCATCTATTTCCTTGGCATCTTTACTAATGGAATGCAGGACGAAAGCTAAACTAAAGAGTGGCGAGATCATTGTGACTGGAGACCAGTGGCCGCTGTTCTTGTATGCAGACTACCATTATGATCTCAAGGATCCATGGAATGGTCTATTTCAAAGTGCCTTACTTGTTTGTGTAAGATATTTCATGTTGCTCCCAAATTTCTTTGCTCTTAACTAGACTCTTAGGCATATAGACACACCTTCACGTCCCCCAGTTCTGTGGACAGAGAACTCATTCAGGTAATGCTCAGATTCATGGAATGACCTGAGTTACACTGCCCTCCATCGCATATATTGCAATGCAGGTTTGTCCACACTTTGGATCTGTACATTTCTACTCAACGATAAATATTCATTCCAGATCAGATTTTCCCTCACCTCATCTCCTGTGTTTTCGCATACAGACACAGTCACCGACTCAGAAAGGTTCTACAATTCTGTTTTAGATATTTTTGAAGACCTGGGTGAGAAGCAAGAAGTGAATGACCTTACCATATGGTGGAACAGGTAATTGATGATTCGTTTTATTCTACTGGTTCTCACATTTTCTAGGCAAATTTTTCCCTTCATACTTGACCGCTCAGCATCCCCTGGTAAAGAATAGCATGCTAGCGAGGATCTGAGAGAAGTGAGCATGAACGAAAGAAGTGTCAGTGTCTGATGGTGACGGTGGCAGTTTGTAGCATACCGTCGGCACAGTAATAGTTAATTGTACCTTGCTACTAAATAATGTGCTGTGGTCCCACTATGGTGCATGCGAGTTGCTTGTGATGCCGAGATTATACCCAGCCTCCAGACTGAAAGTGAATCATAGTAAATACCTCATCTTTGTATATTTTACCAATGGTAGCAATCAAGGTATTCACATTGTGATGATAGCATCTTTGTCAACAATATGTCATCAGTCTGCCACTACAGTTTTAGCATGTATCATTTTGAGATCCTTGCTCCAAATTCACCTGCAATTACTTTGCTGATCACATGTGTATTTGTGACTGATACTTGCAAGAATGATGTCAACTGGACACACCTATGTAATACTCATCTTTCTGATGAGAATCATATGATACATAAAAGCAACCATTCATTATATACATAGTCATAAGAGTTGATGAAGTATCACAATTGTGAAGCTTGCCTGTTTTGCCATCCAGATGCTCCCCTATAATCCCTATCACTATGATGACATTTGTGAGTTCTGCCAGGGCAAGCGTCCATTATAATTGAAGAGAACACAGTCCATGAATGTGTCATAAATGTAACGCTAGATCTTACATCACCTGTCTTTGTTCCTTTGATCAGTGAAGGTGTGAGGTCTCATCCTTGCATATTTGGCAGGTCCTGCCATGTCTATCCTCCAATATAAGGCTTGATAATTTGACATATCATTATTAGACTGATTGTAGAAATTTCACATATTATAATTCTTTATATACCAATATCATTTTATCATTGAACATCTGATGTCACCCTCTAAGTTATGTCATGTACTAGACTCGTGATGAGTCCTTGCTATGAGGCAAGCGGGCTGCATAGCGAGAACTAGTCACGAGTCTAGTCACATACATCTGTTGGGTATTCGTCCAGACATACTAACATATGTTACATCCAATATGACAATTATATGCTGTCCTTGACTATGCAACAACACCATCACATTTTCCGACAGTCGTGACTTGCTTTCAATGGGTGTGAGAGTCAAATTCCGAGCCCCCATGCCGAAAACCTTCAGTTTTTATATGTATTTCTGTCATATTTGAGAGTGAACAGGCCTCGAATCGGTTTACATTTGAGATGATGTATCAAGAATCATGATGAGGTTCAGGGTATCGTAATGTGGTGTCAAATGACAGCAATATGAAAGTACTTAAGAGCATTGAATGCTATGATGTCTGTATATGTAAGAATGATATCAATGACAGTTAGAACCACGATCCTCAGTCTGCAGAGAAGGCCATATAGAAGACAAATCAGTAATTAAGGCTATCATAACTAGGAAAGTAGGGACTCGGACAATAGCATTACTTACATAATATTTGTGGAGTTAAATATGAATGCACGTGACATCAATGTTGAGACTCACACAGCGGGGATTGCAATATTTAAGACAGCTTTGAATGTCATGCAAAATGTGAAGATAATATTTAATATTTTGGTTGTCGTCTAAGCAGATATAAAATTTCAAATATTAATGAGATCCTGTACGACAAGAAAAATATAAAGCATTAGCGAACATTTTGTTACTATCTAAATGTCAATGACAATAAGAAATATAAATATATCTTTAATGTTGGCATAAACTTCAAAATGAAACTTCACATTTAAGACTCGAAAAAACTTCAACTATCACACGTGACTAAATGCCTGCTCATGTATGAAGTTTAGACCACCGCTTAGACAGGCATTAAAATTTAAAATAGCTCCTGATGATTAAACGTGAAGATAAATCATTAAGTTTTGTCTCCAGATCAAATCAATCGCATGATGATTGCCCGCTCACAGCTAAATCATCGCCCACTCACAACATCACTGCCCACTCACGAAAATCTCTAAAATGTGACATATTGGGGGACTTAACGACATGATACATACAGTACGGTACTACAGCTCAGTAGAGTGAAGCTAAAGATCAATCCTGTTTGAGAGAAAGTAGTCAGACACCGGTGATTTGAGAGGTGAACTAATATACTTACGCGAGATAGAGATAATATGACTACAGTGTCACTTGAAACGGCCCATCGAGCAAAATGACTAACAACCCAGGATACCTTGACATTTTCCAAATGACTGCTTAAGTTTGACGAGTACATTTTAGCAGGGAAATTAGGATACATAGTGAATGGATCGATGGTCTGATCGTGATGCGGGAGGAGCTTGTGTACAGCAAACACTAATTCACCTGTGGGCATAGCATAGATATGTTGAATACTGCCGGGGACAGGAGACGATAACCGGTCACCCTGAGGGTAAAAAAAAACTTGACTATTCCCAATGTGAGTAGAAGCTCTGCTGTAGATAACACCGTTGAATTTTAATTGAGCGCGCAATATTGCTGTGCGTCGTTTGATGAGCGCAAACAAGTCTTCAGGAACAGCTACAGCTACAGCGGAGGAAGGAGCCTATACTGTCATCCAAAGGATCTTCAGCAAGTTCTTCACCAAGAGTTGCAGCGCTCTTGGGAGCATACATGTTATCAAATAGAAATTTGCACTCTTGAATAGCCGGTGGACAATCTGGGCGACTAAGCCAACAGCGAAGTTTTGAGGTTTTGATAAACGAATGTAGCATGGTAGTTTCCAGCTCGCCTTGAAAAATCAGTCCTGTTATCACACACTAGTACACCATAAAAACTCACCAGTCTTATGATTTACTGGAAGACGCTGAAGTATTCCAATCAAACGTTCGAAAGGAAAGCACCACCAAGAGTGGGCAGGGCCAAATAGAAGGAGATAGTCGTATATGTGGAAGGCAGTGTGGTGATTCGGACGCAGAGCGAATGTGGGGTGTATCTTCTTCAGATTTCCAACATAATGCGCAATGTGGGAGCGATACGCACATGCTCTCTGTCCAGTCATTGTCCGGGCACAAGCAAGATACACCGCGCAAACAAGTTCCATGGTATGGTCGAAAACAGCTCTAAGGCGAGTGCCGACTTCATCAGAAGGGTGCCAGGTGCCAGCCCCCCACAAGCTCACAAGAGCGATAGGAATGTAGATGGTGATGAGAGAGTGCCACTCATCCGCTTTCATCATCCCGGCAGATGCACTTCCGAAGTCAACTGGGACTGAAGTAAACCAAGACAGAACAGTTATCTCCTGGATGACATCTCGAACACGATGGAGGGCATCTGGAGAACCAAGCTGAAGCTCCTTTGCTGGAGCAGCAAAGGGTTTTCCACAATGCTGAGGACAAGTATAGGTAACTCGTAACAAAGGGGACATAAAAGAAAGGACTCACCCATTGTACGAGAGCTTTGACATAGTCGATTTTGAACAATCTACTAGATTTATTGGGGATGCATTGCAAGGCCTCGCAAACAAACTTGAGAGGTCCCATGTTCTTGTGAAATAGAGAATTCTTCAATTTATCCAGGTTTTGGTCATTGCAAGACAACTGGGAAATGAGAAGGGTGTGTATAGCAGTGACCTGGGTCATTTCCTTCGAAGTCATCCCTGGAGGTACATCGCCTAACTCACATGAAAAGGCTGGAGGGGATAAAGTCGATGAAGTGGTCACCATAGTCAAACCAAGAAGGCTACGGGAGTGATGTTGGACTAAACCTTCCAATATACAATGCATCGGGTCGACAACAAGCTGACGTGAGGGATCCCAGTATGGCAAAAGCCACATCTCTGAATAGTGCACGCTGTGAGCTTTGAATAGTCTCTCTCGTTCGGAGGTCGTCACAGCATCCCTCCACCGCTCAGCAAAGTCCCGGAGTTCATCTTTATCGCGAGGTGCCCAGCTTTCAAAGTATACTCTACTGTACGTGGTCTTGTGGTAGCAATTGCATGCACTACAATAGAAATGGCTACTGGTTCCAGCTAAAGAAGCAAGATGACGAGTGGCAGGGAGATCACAAACGGCCAGAACAATAGCACTGCGAGCGAGCCGGCCGGTAGGAAAACAAGCAGTCTTGGAAAATTTGACGCCGCACTTCCATGAGTCTACCATGTCATTGATAAGTGGCTGGATGTAGTGATTGAGATGCTTGAGGGACGGCTGTTTTGGACCCGGGATGATTCCTCCAAGATACATGTTCTCAGGCTTGTACCTGATATCCAATGGTAGATTCAGGCATGCCATAGAGATGATTCCAGAGGATTTGCTAGTGCCACACAAATTCATACCCTCCAGATTGAAAAAGTCCACGTGAAGGGCGAAGGCATAGTGTCCTTCATCTCCTCTATCAATAAAAAGTGAACCTGGATCTGGACCACTAAATTGACGCAGAAATTGAGCCTCAAATGCATGTTTCATCAGAGGTGGATGGAGAGAATTGATTGAGTCCTGCAAATCATCGCAGGCTTGATCCATCGCCCCCTCGATATCTGCACGGGAGAGGAGACTGGTGAGGTAGTCTTTGAAATTGTGGTACGTGTATTTCTTCTTCGGTCACCCTACTCCATCAAGCAATGACTCACCACATTTGGCCTCTGGCGTGGGGCGGTGTGTACAGTGTTTAGGATATATAGGAACAGTTGAGCCGTCTGTGTAATGGGGGCTGTAAGTGCAGTGACAACTAGAGCAGACCGCAAATATGACAGTTTTCCCGGTGAGATGGAATCTTGCGAGTGCGGTGTCAAAAGTCATTGGAATTTGCCTGAGCACATTTTGATGGGAAGCACTGAGGCTACCATTGGATCTCTGGAGTGTGAGGAATAACATGACTGAAATAAGTCCCAAGATGAAATCACAGCCTCGCCTACTGACCCCCATGACAACTTTACACACCACACTGATGAATAAGGCTATCTGTGCAATTTCATCATACTGATTCAGCAGAGATTCATGGTGAATATCTAGTGACTGTTCAAAACACAATCATGATGAAGATAATCAACTCTTACTGGCATCAAATTCGACTGCAGCACGCAAGGTCTTTTCAGGAGGCTTGTGAGTGTGGAACTGTGCTTCTAAGCGATCTATCTCCAGAATAATTGCCTTCTTCCGTGTGATCACGAGGTCTGCATTTCAATTGACGTTCTCCACAGCTTTGTGAAGCAATGGTAGCTCGCGAGCAACATCATCGGAATTACCAGCAAGTAACAACTGAAAGCACCGCTGAACACGGAACTCCATGTTATCAAGGATTGTTAAGGCCTTCACAGTTCGCTGGTCTCTGTTCTTTTTGGAGACATTGCAACGACCAGCAATTGCAGCTCTGGGTTCTTGTGCAACAAAAGGATCCAGCAAAGTGAGTTGTTCGAGGTCATCTGCCAGAGCTGGAATAGATACTGATGGAGTGGGGTTGGGTTGCTCCGAACAGCTAAGCGCAGGTGGAGAAACCAATTCATTGTGGGTAAGGGTGAGTGTGCGGAGCTGTGAGACTATCAGATCTGCACTGTCATTCGTGCGGTCAGGTCCAGCCACATGTGTGAGCATAGCAAGTTCTGCATGTGCACATTTAGTACGTTGCAGATGAGCTGCTATAAGACGCTCTGTGATGAGCACCCCTTTAGGTGTGCCATCATTGGCACGATTGCCGGATTGGATGCATTCCTCACAGAAACACCATTTGTACGCTGAGCGGGACACAGGCATGAAGAGCGGGGCGACAATAAGACAGCCTCATTTCTGCTGTGGAAGTCAATGACAACGACAGTATGTACCGTTGTTTCAATAGGGAATGAGAGTCATAGAATGGGAGAGCCATAACCAGTTATATAGGCAGACTTTTGAGTTAGACGAACAACAACAACAACAACAACAACAACAGAAGAAACAATTCGAGTAATGAAATGACAAGACAGCAGTAACCTTGTACAAAATACAATGTTCATTACAAGGCTGCCAAACAAGGAAATATAATGTGGTCATTAGGGAGAACTGAGCGGGCAAGGACAGAAAGGAACAAGTAGTTCTGAAGGACTGATCAATATAGAAAGAATGCGAAAAAAATCATTAGAATGACTCACTGATTGATTGATGCAGTTTCTGCCCAAGTGATTTCTGCGATAGGCGGTCATATGAGAGATCTGGGCGAAGACATTGAACCTGTAATCAAGAACGAACCCTGGGCATGACCATACATCCTGAGAGAAGGTCCTGGAAGGTCGATGTCGATGAGGATCCTGGAGAACGAACACCGGGCATGACCGTACATATGGTCATGCCCTGAGAGAAGGTCCTGGAAGGTCGTTGTCGAGGAGGAGCCTGGTAACAGAAAAAGAGAACACCGGGCATGACCGTACATACTGTCATGCCCTGAGAGAAGGTCCTGGAAGGTCGATGTCGATGAGGATCCTGGAGAACGAACACCGGGCATGACCGTACATATGGTCATGCCCTGAGAGAAGGTCCTGGAAGGTCATTGTCAAGGAGGAGCCTGGTGACGAAAAAGAGAGAATGCCGGGCACGACCATACATACAGTCATGCCCTGTAAGAAGGTCCCGGAAGGTCGTTGTTGACAAAGAAAATGATAGGCTTGACAGTACAGACCGTCAAGCCTAGGAGAAGCTAGGTAAAGTTCCATAAAGTTGGAGGACTTAGAACTTTGGCAACGAAAGCGCCCGCTGAGCAGTCACAAATAACAATAATCCATTTTTGGAAATTGTTACATAATGTTGACTGCTTCAAGCTTCAGTGTCACTTTCGTCATCAACTATGAGCTCGACGGTTTGTACTGTCGAGTTCGCCGTCCCCAAATCCTCAGAGCTCGACGGCATGTACTGTCGAGCTCATCGAGCTTATCTTCACCCATTCCCAGAGCATGATGGTATGTACTGTCGTGTCTCCCTACTACCATCTGCCTCATCAAATCCATCAAATGCACCTTTTTGCTCCATCAACATCAACCTTGTCAACTCCTTCGCTTTCGCTGACTGCGATCCTTCAGATCACGCGAGCAGGTAAGCAAATCCAACTGTTCACAAATTTGACCGTCAATCCTCCATTAACATATCCAGTCGTCAATGCCCGTCAACCCCTCTACCGTATATACAGTAGAGTGGGCAATGGCTAATCCGCTTTCACTGACTGCAATCCTTCAGATCACACTATCCCATCCATAGGTAAGCTCAGATCGTTAGCAGATCCCACCATTGACCAATTGTTAAGCAATCCAGCCAGCTGTCAATGCACGTCATCCCCTCCACCATACATACAGTGGAGGGGGATTGTCTTGTCATACATTCCTGCATTCACTTGCTTTGTCTATTCATCTCTATGCACATTATCACATATACTAGGCTACCCCGACTTTCATCCATCGGAATGTCTCATTTGACACCTCCAACCTGTTCACCTGACCTCCAGTAAGACCAACAAGCCATTCGTCGCTGTATAGGGCCTTTGGTAATCCAGTAACCGGGATCCATACTGTTGTCAAATTACCGGATGCGTGTATTCTTTTTGTTGGTTTGGAACCCTGGGGTGCGAAAATATCATCATCCAACACTCTCTGATTATCAATGATATTCAGTTCTTGCTCTATCCTGCGCCGCCATGTCATATTCTTGACCTGGAGTACACATTCGATGTCATTTTCAATGTCGCTTTCTTCTGAACTCATACCTCCATCTCCCAGTGTTTTGATTATATTTTGAAGCCACTGCCAAGCTGGTAGGTCCTCGTCCTCGCCATCTTTCTTCAGTTCAATAATTTGCTCAAGAATCTTTGTTCTGTGAAGATATTTCTGTGGACGTATTAGTGCCCAGAGAGCGCTGAGATCAAGCTGTGGACATACATTTCGCCGACAAGTTGCTTGATGGACCGACTTCAGATTTTTGTCTCTCTTTACAATCAACCTCTCCTCCACTTCTGCCCCAGTTTCCAATATGCCCTTTGCTGTAACCTTTGGTTGTGCTGCTCTCCAGACTGTCCGCAGCCGCTTGTAGCGATCTTCGAGTATCATCTTATAATAACCATCCAACCTTTGGAACGGCCACTGTTCTTCTACGCTCCTCCTTTTCAATGCTTCAAGGAGAATATCGAGAACTTTCGCATTCCAGGGGGTGCTAGATCCGTGCTTGAGATCGAAGGCAAGATTCTGGGTGTTGGGGCCTGGGCCATCTTCATACTCGTATGAGTACACATCTTGATGATTGGCCGGCTCATGTACAATGAAATCCGCATCTTGAGATATACTGAAGGTATCTTTCAGGAGACACCGGATCTCACCCTACTCCATGTTCAGTATCAGTATTGTTTTTATTCGAGTTTTAGCTCTCACAAGAAGGAAGTCTCTTTCGTGGCTCAATTCTGTGGCCATCTCTATTTTAACTTCATCATCCTGCTTCTTTTTCCTTCAAGGACTACGCTTTGTGGACATTAGGAGATCCTTCTTGACGAGGATGCATCTGAGTGCTGCCTCTATGCCTTTGGAGATCGCGTTCTCCATCGCAGACATAGGGTAGGCATCGTCCTGCTGAGGTTGCGGTGGCTCTTGCTCAACTGTCACTGATCATTCTCGATGCGTTTCCATAGGGTTGTCATCATCAACGTCCTGCTATGGTGTGACATTTAAACAAGCTTTGATCACTCAATACTCACCTCCATTACAGATACCAGACACATTTTGCGTGTTGCTCCCCGTGCCTTCCTGATCTTTTTGATTGTCTCGAGGCATGGGGTTTTGAACTGTGGTTTCTGAGGTGTTTTGGGTGACTGTTGAGCGCTTGTTGGGGTGGGGTCTGCATCCATTTCCATGGTTGCATGCCGTCGCCTACCGGATCTTGCAAACCGCTGCTCCATGTTAGCGAGTTTGCTCATCTTTTCTGCCTTCAGTTTTTCTATCTCTAGTTGTAGCCTTCGCTCCATCTCGCTAAAAATAACTTTCTCGTGTTCTTCTAACTGCTTGACATCATTAGCAATTCTTATGTTCAGTCATTTTCCCCCACCTCTTGATTTTTTCTTTTACTTAATTCTGCGTTGCATCGTGCCAGTTCTTCGGCCAGATGGTGTTGTTCTTCAGTTCGTTTTTCTAACTGCTTGACATCATTAGCAATTCTGTGGTCGGTTGTTTTTCCTCACCTCTTGTTTTTGTTCTGCTTCCCGTCGTGCAAGTTCTTCAGCTAACTGCTCGACATCATTAGCAATTCCCTGATATGTCGTTTTTCCTCACCCCTTGGTTTTTTCTGATGATTATTTCTGCTTTGCATTGTGGAAGTTCTTCAACTAGCTGCTCGACATCATTGGCAGTTCCCTGGTCAGCTGTTCTTTCTCACCTCTTGGTCTTTTCTTGCCCTTATTTCTGCTTCATGCCGTGCCAGTTCTTCAGCAACGTTCTTCCTCAGTTGTGCTTGCTGTTGCTCCTGCCATGTGTGAATTTCCTATTATCTTGTAAGCGTGTGTCTGACTGGATGTATCTGTTACACTCACGTCCTTCTCCCACTCCCACTCTCTCAGAACCGCTTCCCATTGCCGAATCTTCTGGTCGAAATCGCGCATGTGGCGCTCATGCTCTTCTTCTGCAAGACGTCATTGCTCCTCAATGCGGTCTTGAGCTTCTCAGTGTATCTGCCGGTATCATCAGCAGTGACATACATTTGATGAGTTTCTCGTGCATACCACTTCTGTTTCATGCATAATACTGTTGATACATTCCTGTTGTTCATATACAGTCTGGTGAAGTGTCTGCGAATAGTCGACTTCATGAAAGCGACACTTCCCAGATGTCTAGATAGGCATTGTGAGTCATGGAAGTTGATTCGTACTATCCACACATACCACTTCATCTCTGGCCCTCTTGTCGGGTCGCACAGGATGCTGACTAAGAGCATCCATGAAGTTACCAGCACTTTCATCGTCATCTTCATCGTCCTCGAATAAATCCGTGTCATGAGATGTTTGTACGTCTTCTGCCTGAGTGTCAGGACGCTGCATGTCGATGTCGATGTTATCGACACTCATAACGGGGCAAGGATCCATTGTTAGTTAGCAAATGACATTCCTGAGTCTTCTTAAATCATGTGCTGCATTTTTATCTTTATTCTTTCAGACATCTTGTTGTACAAATACAAGACTGTCACTTTCAATTATCTTGTTGCTCAATTCGCTCATACAATTAGCTCGTACAATTACCGTTGCAGTATTAAAGAAATATACTACCTCATACAATTACCCCTAGCGACAGCACTGCAGGATTGACATTGCAGCAGTATTGTCATCCTTGGATTTGGTTCCTCACTGTTTCCAGCAACTACGCTTGGTGACCCGAACTAGATTGTGGTTATTGTCTTTGACTAAACACGTCAAGTTTATAAAGCTGGATTGCTACTACAGTCTGCCTCCATCGCCTGCATTCATCACCCACCCCTTAAATTGTTGCCTTGATCGAAATAATCAGCATGGTGAACACTCGCACATATATTCTTCCAATGTCTTCTGTAAGTTATTCCTTACTTGCTTGCACCCTTTGTTTACCTTCAAATCAGACTCCAGAACTTCACCTGCGGTGCAGGCTATATTCAACATTGTGGACCAAACCTCATCAGGTCACTATGTTGACGCATTGCTCTGGCCACTTACGTACTGCTCGGCATTTTCCTGTTCCTGAAAGTCTTCTCGAGGAGGCTACCATACAGCCTTATGTTCACAACTGTTTTGTGAATGTGCGCGAAGGACGACACATCTATCGATTCTGCATATTTTTCAAGCAACATGTTCGTCTCAGAGCCAACGTGCTTCTTAGCAGGGGTGATCGTAAGTTCCGAGGAGATGCAGTTGTTATGAGGATTGGAGTCAACAATACCTCAGTTATGAACATGCGAGGCAGAGATAATGTGCTTGCTGACTTCATAATTCACCAGTGAGTATAGTAAACTCAATGATTTATTGAGCATACCATAACTATCTTTTCAGCTTTGCGCAAAGCATAACTAATTGTCCAAGAGCTAGGCTCCTGCGCGATCTTACTCTTGTGAAGCCCTTGAGCACTCATACCAATTGTCGGTTGGCTGCGAGGTGTGGAGTAGTATAATAGAATTACATACCGAATGTATAATAGAATTACCTACTGAATTTCTCAGCTGGACTGCAGATATAGAATGCCATATTGTCATAGTACAGTGCCATGATCTTGAATAAACATTCGAAAGCGCCGGCTTGAACTGATACTGACGGGTTCCGGGTTCTGGGTAGCTTTGCAGACAGTATGATGTAGTTTCGCTCTCCCTGATGCGCGTAAAACTTGTAGTTACTAGTCACCTATTGCTATTAGAATTTTCAGGCCGAAACATCTCTATTGCTTGGGGATTGTTGGTATTCATACATACAGCAGGTAATGACGGAGACATGGGTATCACTTCCTGGCCTTGCTCTTGCTCTTGCCTGCAGCCATTTCTCCCATCTTTTGTCTCGCGCGACCAGATGTGTATTTCAGGCGTGTCATGATCATATCGTTGACTGGCCATAAACTGCAATAATTGTCGAGGTCTGGGAAGTTGTCAAGCGCCTGAGATGATGTCGTAAGTTCATTGACAATATCAAGACTCAGAGAAATTGTTCACCTTGCCATGCATGACTTTCAGCAGCGCAGGACTTTGGGCAGAAGCGCATTTTGTCGTGTCAAGATGGTCCTCGATGAGAGTATACATAGAATTCTAGGGAGGATGTGAGTTAGTTTGCGATACTGAGGGTATAATAACAATTTGTGAACCTTGAATTTTGCATATGCCCTTGGATTCCAATCTAAAGCTTCATGAAGTGTGTACCCCCCGCGCCCTGGACGCCCAGGTTCACCAGCAGGTTTAGGTATCTTCGAGCCTTCCGATGAATCCACGCTCGAAGTCGAGGAGTCGCTATCTGAGAAAGAACTCAAAGAGCTTGAGGAATCTGAGGGCGGAGGCGTGCGGAAATTGGAACACATAGAGGTGGCTCTCTTGGGATATGGAGAGGAAGAGTGATTAGAATACTTGAGCATCCGCTTCGAAAGTTTAGATTCAGGGGTGGGTGCGGACGACGACGCCCTTGCAGTGGGAACAATACTGGCTTTAGGACCAAGGATTTCATCAGCAATAAGTGTAGTTGGGCGACAATCTGCATTACCAAACACCTCCAACTGGTCTGTGAGCATTGGGGGAAGGGGCAGTGGAACACCAGGCTCTGAGTCATAGAAAGGCGAAACAACTGTAGAAGTATTGCGCATGATAGATAGAGAAAGAGCCGAACAGCTGCATTGAACTTAAGGGATGTTCATGATAAGAAGCACTCAGGAAAGCATTCAACAGACTACCATATTGGGCGAAAACAATAAGGGGCTACAAAAATGGTAACCGTCATATAATAGTACCTAAAGAATAGTGAAGGGTAGCCATCAATGTACATCTCAAGAGAACACAAGATGGTAACTGTCATATAATAGTACCTAAAGAATAGTGAAGGGGTGGCCGTCAATGTACTATCTCAAGAGAACACAAGAGGACAGTACTACACAATTGCATCAACAATTACTGTAAAGTTACCATGGAATCAAATAAATATGGGAACGATACAAAAGTACTTGAAAACAAATGAGAGGTGCAGATAAATATGCCGTGAGCAGGCGACAACAGCAGATCATATCATAATGTCTTTCTTTGCTTTGTTATTCAACAAGTCAGCGCAGCCACAGCGTTACAAGCTGCTCGCTTGTCTAACCGACTATAATGGCTCTATCCATGCACTTGCGATTTCTAATGATGGGCACCTGCTTGCATGTGGTGGTAAGAAAGCAGAACTCAGCCATAGACAGGGCTAACAAACAAGCAGGTACTGAGGGCATCAAACTCTGGGATATCAAATCTCGGAAAGAACTCACATCTTCATCTAATCATCATGAATTATGGGGAACAGTCAGTTGCGCAATCTGGGCCACGACCATGAAAACCACAGCAGAAACCCTCTGTTATGGAACAGGCCTGGGTTATATCATATTTTTGAGACACAGTCTCACAGATGTAAGGGCCTAAGGTTTCCGCTTGACTGTCCATTGACACTAGCAGGAAAAATTACAGGAAATCTGCGCTAGGAGACTGGCATCAGGCTTCGAGATCACATGCTTGTTGTGGTGTTCTGCTTCCTCTGAAAGCAACCTGTGGATTGTAGTGGGAACAAGAGACAAAACGATTCATGTTCTAACGCTCAACACAAGCTCGCAACTCCAGTCTGTCTTCGCAGTGCGACTTGAAAATACGGTACCCAAGTCGGTAGCATTTGCGGATAACCAAGGCATCTATGTGTTCGGGCTCTATGATGGCAACTTGTAAGTCTTCCACTGCATAACTTTCATTGCCTGATGCTGAGCACCGAACAGCATGAGACTGAAGGATGAAGATGGTGAAATATTGCAAGAGATTAGCTGCAAATCAGTGATGTGAGGGACCACGCTCCTGACCTGTGCGCGTTACTAACATTATTCCAGTGATCATGCTGCGGTGTATCCAAAGCGGGGCGTTTTCGTCGTAGATAATGCGACAGATGGCTTTACATTGTATCGTCTTGAAGGTACTGGTGAGCCTGTTCGAACATTTGCAACTGGTTTGCCCAATGTGTCGGTCCCAAAGCAAGTGGCATTCAGGGAAGAAGGCAAGGTAGTTGTGGGAGGAAGTGACCATGGACTAGTATATATATTCGAGCGGAAGACAGGGCAGATAATCGAGACCCTCCATCATGCAGATGCTGGCCTTGTGCAAACAATATCAGTAAGTGCTAAGACTGGTCGGAAAGAATGTCACTGAACTAGATTAGATGCGCGATCTCCATGGCCGTTGCACAATTGTCAGTGCTTCACCTGTGCCAAGGCGCGGGAAAACTACTATCAAGATATGGGCATACAACTACGCAGTGCCGAAGGTATCCAAGGTGCCTTTGGGGGATTACTGGTCCCTGTCATGCATACTGATGGTGCTGATACAACTACTGGCACTGATGTGCATGAGCGTCTTCCTACTGATGAACTATAGAGATAGCTTTTTGGTAAGTGAGCCATGTAGTCAGCAGTAATCTAACTAACGCACCTCCAGGACAGCGCAGTGAACCATGTGCATGAGTTGGCTGATGACTTTTCACAGCATGTTAAAGCGGCCATGATATTTAACGAGTATGTAGATATTGAGAAGGGCGATAAGGAAGGGCCGACCAAAGGATACGCCAAAAGTGACATCAGGATGCTCCAGGAATTGGTAGCAAAGCTCATGGAGCTAGCTCAAGAAGTGGGCGAAGATATGGACAAAGATGGTCATCAGGAAGATGAGAGCAAGCGCAATGTTGATCACCCGCAAGTAGTGAATGGAGGTGAACAGGCAAAGGACCTAACTCTTGTCCAGTAACAGATAAGACACTAGTTAAACATAGAAATAGTTTTGAATTATGCCCTTGACCAGATTTGGCAGAGGGATGTACAACGAGACAATCCCCCTCCACTGTATGTATGGTGGAGGGGATGACGTGCATTGACAGCTGGCTGGATTGCTTAACAATTGGTCAATGGTGGGATCTGCTAACGATCTGAGCTTACCTATGGATGGGATAGTGTGATCTGAAGGATTGCAGTCAGTGAAAGCGGATTAGCCATTGCCCACTCTACTGTATATACGGTAGAGGGGTTGACGGGCATTGACGACTGGATATGTTAATGGAGGATTGACGGTCAAATTTGTGAACAGTTGGATTTGCTTACCTGCTCGCGTGATCTGAAGGATCGCAGTCAGCGAAAGCGAAGGAGTTGACAAGGTTGATGTTGATGGAGCAAAAAGGTGCATTTGATGGATTTGATGAGGCAGATGGTAGTAGGGAGACACGACAGTACATACCATCATGCTCTGGGAATGGGTGAAGATAAGCTCGATGAGCTCGACAGTACATGCCGTCGAGCTCTGAGGATTTGGGGACGGCGAACTCGACAGTACAAACCGTCGAGCTCATAGTTGATGACGAAAGTGACGCTGAAGCTTGAAGCAGTCAACATTATGTAACAATTTCCAAAAATGGATTATTGTTATTTGTGACTGCTCAGCGGGCGCTTTCGTTGCCAAAGTTCTAAGTCCTCCAACTTTATGGAACTTTACCTAGCTTCTCCTAGGCTTGACGGTCTGTACTGTCAAGCCTATCATTTTCTTTGTCAACAACGACCTTCCGGGACCTTCTTACAGGGCATGACTGTATGTATGGTCGTGCCCGGCATTCTCTCTTTTTCGTCACCAGGCTCCTCCTTGACAATGACCTTCCAGGACCTTCTCTCAGGGCATGACCATATGTACGGTCTGTTACAAGTAACATCGGCTACATGGCCCCCCTATCATTTTTCCCCTTCGTCCTCGCCCTCGTATGCCCCCGGCTCGTACTTCTCTACCGACTATCTGTTGACCGGATCCTCGGGACCGTTCCCGTCCCTCATTCCCCCTCCTATCGCACCAACGTGCGCACGTGCCTTCGGGCTATGACTCATTCTGACTCGTGCCACCAATGTGGCTTTCCTTATCTTGTCTTATCTTTCCTTTGACCCGTGCATGCTGCACATTGTATCATTTACCGTTGGCTCGTTCCAACGTTTCTCGGTCTCATTCCGCATTCGACCTCACATCACTAATCAGGCTCTGCTACCAGCGTACCTATACCCTTTCCGTTTTCCCTTTGCCCTTACCCACAGTACGGTAGCCTTGCCCTTAACCCTTTCCACTTAGTATAAGTAGTCGGTCACTCTGTACTAGATTCCCTAACTTGAATCTACTCAATCTTCCCTCGAACATACTTCCCTCTGAAGCCCCCTCAGCTTCAGTCTCTAGTATCTTTTCTTAGGTGCTCATCGCGCCTAAGTCTACCTCGATCGACCACCTCATCGTTCGGACAAGACTGTCCTTACTTTGAGAACATCAGTGACTTTGAAGACATCCGTCTTAGAAGTCACGTGACACGCGCGTCTCTGATATCTGCCGACTCGACATCGCCAGTCTCAGTCGCTACACCGGACCCTTCCGGTTACGTCACGAACGTTAGCGGACGACGCCCCTCTTAGGGCTCCGCATAACAGATCTATTTGAGTGCGTAACACGGTCATGCCCAGTGTTCGTTCTCCAGGATCCTCATCGACATCGACCTTCCAGGACCTTCTCTCAGGATGTATGGTCATGCCCAGGGTTCGTTCTTGATTACAGGTTCAATGTCTTCACCCAGATCTCTCATATGACCGCCTATCGCAGAAATCACTTGGGCAGAAACTGCATCAATCAATCAGTGAGTCGTTCTAATGATTTTTTTCGCATTCTTTCTATATTGATCATGGTTTAACCTCACAGCAACTGTCAGTGCAGTCAGACTGCCTGAAGTGGACATGATGACAATCTGTGGCCACACACATGATAAAATTTCAATACATATACATGCCTGTGGCAAATTGCGTTTTTTTAATCCACAATAATATTGTTGTTGTTTGGTAGTTCTTACTTCACGTCTGAAACCACACTTTTGTTTTCTCCACAAGCCGCAACAGCCACACCTCTGATCTCCCAGCATTGTTGCCACCGATATGGTAATCACTTCTTGAAACTCCACCATTACTGTATAGATGCACCGAACCCTTTCCTTCTTCCTCATCTAATGTATCGGTTCATACTGTTGCGGGAGATCTTGATCTAAGCTTAACGTGATGGTTCATACTGTTGCGGTAATCTTGTCTTAACTACATTCTCCCCATCTCCACCAATGAATAACAATCTCTGTGTCTTTGCCCGTGATGGGCAGGTCTATACATCCCTCACCGCACATTCGCTTCCCGATGCCATTCCTTACGAGTCATGTTGGGATCCTCACGAAGACTATGACACTTCTCCTGATGATAGCGATACACCACTTACCACTTGCTGGGCATACGGAGCTCGTCTGTGGTTTCCCCTCATACCTTTGAATCCTAGCTTCGATGGGCCAATCTTTGGATGCCTCAATCACTCTAGGTTTTCGCTCCATACAGAGGTAGACAATCAGGGAAAACATGTTCTCCACCGCGACATTCGGGGAAAATGGGCTGACTTAGAGCAGAAATTGCTCTGGTGCCAGGAACGTTTAGGTGCGGGATTGCTCATTCCATGGGGGACTAAACTTCCACGCGCTCCGACTACCTATGGGTATCAACGGTCGCATGCAGATGCCAACCTTGCTAAAAAGGTCGCAATAAGGTCGCGTAATGCATTTCTATGTAAGTCAACTATATATTTATCTCATCGTGATTGCCTGACGTATTTCCAGTAATTGCCACCACCTGCTCATGGCACATCATGAGTCATCATCACCATGGCTCCAATCGCGCCTGGATGGCCATCTTAACAGATGATCCCCATCATCCTATACCCGCTGAATGGGTTCTTGAGCTGTCACGCTCATTCGTTGGAGATCTGACGACAAACATGCCACGTACAGGAGCCCTCATTTCTTCCATTCACTGCCCTTAGCAAGCTCAATTGCCCATGTTTGAGAAATTCTCGATCCCGATTTGGGTCTGCTTTCCCCAGAATGTTTCTGCCGCTGTCAATTCCAGTCTGTGTCACTATATCCCATCTGCGGCAGCTATCACTCGTGCGACCGAGCAGTGGGACCAAAAACATGACAATGCTTGGGGTCAACTGGACGACAGTACGTGGGGTCAGCCAGAGGAGAGTCAGAATGCCCCCAAGTGGGATGACGCCCTTGGATGGGCTCAGAACAGTGGAGCACAGCCCGTGTCTAATGTTCCTGAACCGCACACAGACTCTCTGTTCCCGACCCCCCAACCCCACTCTGGACAGAAGCGAGGAGAAGATTGGAAGGCATTCTTTGCGCGGCGCTGTGAGGAGAACAAGAGGAAGGAGGAAACAGAAACGCCAGCCCGGCAGCAGTCGCGTCAGAGCCGTGAGCGGGTAGCCATGAACCACAGCATTCCTGGCAAATCCAGCACAGCCGTGGTATTCGAATGGCAACCTAATGATGAGTTTGGCGGATTTTGTCAACGTGTCCGTCTCACAAAGGCTGAGATACCAACAACTTGGATGTCATATAGCACATCTACCAGGGTATACGACTCATTCCGTAACCAGTGGGACTTGTGCGATGTGTTGGACCCTTCTAGTGTTCCTGACGGCGATTGGGAAGAGGATCATTTCCCCCTGGCCCTTGCTCCTTCTGAGCCTACCCCTGCTCCCCCTCCCCCTCCACCCCCACTGTCCAGCTTCATGAGGGACATCGAAACCTACTTCGGATGTTATGAGGTTGCACCCTCAGCGCAATACACTCGTAATGTTGAGCGATTCATGTCTATTTTGCATTTTCATCTTGGTTATCGCCTTGCAGCATCCACCTCTACACCCAGAGGCAGATCAACTACTTTCAATGATTGGACTCACAAAATGCAGTGGGCTCACTTATGCAAACTTGTGGGCGACGACCCCACAAATATCACATCGATTCCAGACACACAGAAGCATGTCATCACCTGTTTTATAGGTTACCTCGTCACCCTCCCTCAATCTCAGTTGTCAGACATCCCACCCGATCTCTGGGATCTAGGACCCAACTCATCCTTGTCAGTTTTGAATGCACACATTCGAGTTTCCTATGCACAACAACCCAAGCAACGGTTTTACATCATCGAGCTGCTGTCATCAAATCTGGTGCCCTGGAAACTGGCGGTTCCCGACGCTATCACGGTTGTGATGTGCCTCCGGCATGACTGGGGTTCGGATATCACCAAGATCGTGTGCAACCTCCTTGAAAAAGGAATTGCTATAAAGATGTTGCAGCCAATCTCAGTTCCACCTCACGCTTGGCACCCACTTATGGAACTCCATACATACTCGCTCGGACACGTCTTCTCCCCCAAGGATCGCAGGCTTCCTCATTTCAGGCCTGTTTATGCCGACTATATCGTGTACAAACAACACCGTCACAAGTTCATGAACCAGCCTTGTGCAAGAGTGGCACTTCTTCACGGTGGGCTCATATGGCGGCTGGCTTTACATAGTCTCAGTTTCAATGTCCTCCCCTCCGTTCTCGACGGCATTTCACGGCAAGCAGTGCCGTTTGGCCTGATGCTGGACATTAATGGCCAGACTTATTTTGACGATGAACTGTCGGAAGAGGAGGTGGATTTTATGTGCGGGATGTATCATGTGCATACCAGTAAGTTTGTCTTGCTCGCATTCGACAGCAGTACTTATGTTTGAATATTTAGATGATGGGAATGTTGAAATCGTCTCTTGGTGGCCTAGACCCCAGGCCTGGGCTGTCTCAGGACTTAATGTGGGGTTCTGGTCCAGTCAATGTGAATCTTGGTTCCAGTCATGCCTGGACAACATTCGACAGGGTGTTTCACGCAAGCGACATAAATCCACTAATGATGCTAACAGTCCAATGACCGGTACACAGTGGAAAGGCTCACTGAAGTTCAACCTGGGCACCAGTAAAATGATGAAAAATGTCAACGCAGCATGTTGCAGTTTTCTTGACACCAAAGCAAGTGGTAAGAATCAATTGGTTGTTGCTTGCGCATCTCAGATTCTAATCTTGTGCTTAGCGTTTACAGAGAATTAGCACTGGAGACTGTAATTGTAATTGTAATTGTATGAATGTTTATGAGTGATTTCCCTTTGCTGTCCCCTAATACTTCACACTACTGTATAGGATTGATATTTAGCGTAGATTCGTGTATGTACATAACTCATGTCGTCATTGAGTCCCCCAATATGTCACATTTTAGAGATTTTCGTGAGTGGGCGGTGATGTTGTGAGTGGGCGATGATTTAGCCGTGAGCGGGCAATCATTGGGCGATTGATTTGATCTGGAGACAAAACTTGATGATTTATCTTCACGTTTAATCATCAGGAGCTATTTTAAATTTTAATGCCTGTCTAAGCGGTGGTCTAAACTTCATACATGAGCAGGCATTTAGTCACGTGTGATAGTTGAAGTTTTTTCGAGTCTTAAATGTGAAGTTTCATTTTGAAGTTTATGCCAACATTAAAGATATATTTATATTTCTTATTGTCATTGACATTTAGATAGTAACAAAATGTTCGCTAATGCTTTATATTTTTCTTGTCATACAGGATCTCATTAATATTTGAAATTTTATATCTGCTTAGACGACAACCAAAATATTAAATATTATCTTCACATTTCGCATGACATTCAAAGCCGTCTTAAATATTGCAATCCCCCCTGTGTCATATCCACATCCCACTGTTCGGATAAGATGAGGCTCCTTCGGCAGAGGTCGGCATGATTCTAGCTCCGCTTTCAGATCAATGCAAGCTGAATTGAGCCACTTGACAAATCATTCATGCAACTCCGAACAATGGAGATATTATTATTATTATTTTATTATTCAGATAAACTTGGCATTGTGATCCACTGTCATTGATGCAATGACTTAAAAAGAGCCAGCTGTATAGAGATTTTAGCTCAATCATCCTCGTGAACTACTAACCCCAAACACTTCCAGTCATTACGCCGTTGACTCTCACAGACTGCTCTAACTTCACACTTCGCTCTTCGCTCTTCGTAAAACCCTCTTACTGCTATTCATTCCATGGACGCATTCACATCTATCACCTCGCAGCTTTATCCATTGATAACAATACTGAGGAATGATGATCTCCCGGGGTATTCCGATGGATTCCCCGTTGACCATGAGTACGCTCAATCAATGTCAACTTCTGTTGGACTTTGTGTCATTGCTTGATGTCGATCATCGACATAATGCTGCTTGTGTGACAATGTAAGCCTCCTTCTTTCATTGCTTGCCGATCAATACTGAAGCGTACCTTGACAGTCACAAGATTCGTCGAGGGCCTCCAGAGTCTCCGACTGTCGACTATTCATGCTTCTCTCACCATCAATCTCGTGTACCGTCCACTCCTTCGTCGTTATTTTCGTTTTCGTTTGGTACACGTAGTCGAGTTATGGTTTTTGCTCTGTTCCCGTTTGTGCCGAATTACTACTTCGTGCCAATACCAGCCTGTTTCGTGTCCATTGGTCACTGAGTGTGATGCTGCTGTGTTGTGCAAAACTTGAGAGATGTAGCATGTAGCACGTAGCTTGATTTACTGTCCTCGCCTTGATTAGTGACTTGAGCATCTTCCGCAATTGAAGTGAAGTTTGGAACCATGAGCCGAATTCAACCTGAGTACTGAGTACGCAAGTGTTTTCAACCGTGCCTGCTTAGGGGACTTGCATTGTCGCTTGTGTATTCAAACCCGCTGAGAGTGGGGCTGCGAGGTTGCCGGTCTACTATTGAACAATGAACGATAAATCCGATCCGACCAAAGACTGTAAAAGCAGAGTATGCGGGATCGATCGATCATTGATCATCATCAACTATTAATCAAGGCCATCGCATCTCGCGATCAGCATCAAGCAAGTATCACCCAGAAAGGATTGAATGCCCTGTCAACTTCAAAAATTCAACGAACAAAGGAGCAGAGTTTACCACAATTACTAGAGACTGTTCGCCATTGTTCGATCAATGGAGCTGCATGTTATAAATGATTTGTCGAGTGTCTTGGAAGTCTTGCATTATTCTGCTAGAACCATGCCGACCTCTGCCAAAAGAGCCTCATCTTATCATGATCCATATCTTCATGCAGGGTGGACAGCTTGTAGCGGTCGCTACCAAGTGTTAGTGCGTAATATACTTCTGCACACAGTCTGCCGTCATCCGTTCAGAACCATTCTATAGTAACACATGGTTCGTGTATCAGGCACGGCATCAAAGGTTAAAACTTTAATGTGTAGTGTCGGGGATCGCCTGATTGTAGCCACGGTGAGCACATCGGCTTGATCTAGTTCCAAGGTCAGCCGACATGCTGATCACTAAAAAACGATACCGGTGTTGATGCGGCCACCAATTAAACACGGAACTGGCTGCATACCTTGTCTCTGTGCCGCGTCAATCGGAAACAGCGAAACCTTCAATACCTTGGTGTCTGCAGCGAACTGTTGACATCATTTTGTGAAAGTCCATTGTAACACGGATATACTGAATGTTAAATTTCACGCCGTTGGATAGAACAAGATTGCGCAACTAGGCTGCGGCTCTCGATACAATAAGGTTGGCAGGCATGTTGCGTGTCATACCACATCAACAGAGCTACGCCACGAGTTTAGTGCAACAAAGAGCACTACAGTGCCATGGACAAGAAGCCTATAAAATTGCAAAGGTGCAGTGAACTTACCAGGTGTTACCCGATAGCCAAGTTGTTAGTGGTCCTTCATAACATAGCGTGAGCCATGATACTGACGGGATGATGGGATGAGGAACAGAGAAGCGTGCGGTACTGACGCCACCTGAGGAGGGTAATTTATACAAAAACGACAAAGAAAAACAAACAAGCAGACAAAGCGAGAGAAACCACAATGAGGCGTTCGCCATACATACAAACGATTTGGCGCAAAGTATTTTCAAAAGCCATCACTTCATAGGTGGCGGGAATTTGGCAGGGTGAAACCTAGTTCCAAGTAAGACGTTCGGGATAGGGAATTGAAACCAATACAACTGACATTTCGTGACTCGACATAGGCCTCGTCTATCGAAACTCTCCAGAGGTCCAGGGATCGGAAGAATTCAAAAGATGTCTTAGAAGTCTGTCAGGTTCAAGACCAAGTGAAGACGAAGCTTCACTGACTCACTTGTTGAAACGTTGATATCTCAGAAAAAAAACATGAGGTCAATCCGGAAGACTGTCACAGACTGGAGAGGTAGGAGGGTAAGGCTACTTTTTGGACCATGACTCAGCCCGTTTCAGTCGAACAGAGATTCAGAACGCAGAAATGGTAAATGAGTTTGGATGTATCTAACACAGGATGACGGTCATAACGCAGTCGCAAATTTGGCTTGTTGTGGGAAGCTTTCGAACATTCCGACATCTGCAGAGAAATTACAATGCTGATGAATCCAGGAAATGACTACCCGAGGGTTAATCTACTTAGATCTGGAGCCAAAATGTAGGGTCGGTCTGGAGCTTTGGCGATAGGCTTCGGGTGTTTATAGTCATTACATATGCAATCTTTGCAATGAATCTCACTAAAAAAGTAAAATCTTTGTTTTACCTGTCTCGCAGTAGATGAGCGTGATACTGCGTGGAGATGGAACATGAACATCAGGGTGCGAGAGGTTGACCTCTTAGATGTAAAGAGGGTCGGCGACTGAGTGAAACGGGCATTTATTGACTGAAGATAAATTTGCCGTAGTAGACCGTAATTCGACAACTCCCGTTTAACGGGTTGCACAAAGAGCGTGATTTGGGTGATGTAAAGGGTGGTATCATAAGTTACTTGAGGAGCATCCAAGTAACCACGACCATATGAATCTACAAAATCAGCGGGTTCACACCATGTCACACATTGAAAGACGATAACACACCAAAGAAGCACACAATATCCTCGTGAGGTGAGACAGGTGCTACGTCTTTCCAGGCGATGGCCGTGATGGAAAGTCTACTTATCAAAATAATCTAGTAGCCTTGATAAGTATGTGATACTCACGTGCACAAAACACACACACCGTCCATCCTGTGGTCCTCAGGCTATGAGCCAATATCACACCTGGGTAATATAGCGCATCAGCACTTGACACGAGTGCACGTCAATAAAGTACGTGTCTATTCTAGAGATAGGTTGGCATATACACCTGCACTATGCAAGTTCTCTGGGTACACACTTCGCGACGGCGATGAGCTCGGAAGGTGCGCTAGGGATATGCACGGATGATGGGTAAAGTAGGTGGTCGCGGGAAGTTAGCCAAGAGAGAAACAGCGGGGAATATACAGAGATAGATATGAACTTGAAATGGGTGGGCGCTCATCGCGGTGGGCGGTGTAGTACGGTCTTATCATATCAATGAATTTTGTCTGCTTGATGTCATATTTGGTATGGAGAAATCTACAAATACATCGAATTTGAGCTGCTGCTTGCATGGAATGATTGAAGCATGAATGCCAAGATAGAGACAGGTGCAGGAGTACCGGGGAGCTTCCATGAGTGGGCGGGAGGCGTCGGGGTACAAAATGTTTAAGACACGGGTGTGCAAGAGTGCAGATCATGCACAAGGGGGGCGGCAGTCACAAAGTATGGGAGGGCTCATGTAAGACGGTACAAGAGCATGTGAGGAGAGGAGAGCAAGAGGAGAGCAGTAGCATGTGACTGCAGGTAGGAGAAATTAGCGGGAGGTGTTGGAAAGTAGGAGGGTACTGTCCATTGAAATACTGGTACAAAAAAACAGCACAAGGAATATGTATATAATGGTAGGAGATGGGTACAGAAGCAGACGGGAAGACGGGAGGAGTAGAACTCGAGGAGCAACGGGCGGCGCGACGGTGATGAGCATTGCGCACATCGATATTGCAACTCCGCTGAAACACAGCCGCCGAAGCCAAGCCTTAGAGTCTCAGACTACCATTCCGCGTTGACTTATCTCAGCCGTTCGAACTCTGGCTATTCCGACAAAACCGGTACGAGAAACATGTAATACGTCTCATTCATTTACGGATGTGTACAAGATATAATCAATGGCAACAGCTAACGAGGTTGGATTCCTTGTAGTATGAGCGATTTCAATGAGTCATTCTCCCACCTATATCATACGATACATCCGGGCTCTGAGATCAACGTCGGCATAGCAGACGAGAAAAAGGCACTCCCAGGTGTTGCTTCTCAGACTAGGGCTTTCTTTTTGCTCTGTGAATGTTCCCAAGATAATGGGGACGAACTAGTCTGTTTGAGTTCTTTGACGACATAAACTGGCAACAGGCCTGCTGATGGAAGTATCGCAGGCCCAAGAGGAGCACAGTATAACCTGTAAACGCTTATTAGGAAGGTGTATTTTGCTTAAGATAAGCTACTTACCTGGCTAAGTTGATATGCTGTTGCGGCTTTGGTGGGTAGATTCCGAATATCTTTGCTACCCACCAGAAAGCTATGCTGTAGTTCTTCCGCGCTTCTGCGGCAAACCCAAAGAAAGCGAAGAATATGAAGGCACAGACGACTACAATCCACCGCGTGAGCTGGATGGCAACAACCAGGAGGTAGTTCGTTGTCCACAGAGCAGATGGGTATTGCATGACACGCGAAAAGTCGTAGTGAACATTTTCCCAGCTGATCCAGGGCTCTACAGGTTGTGCTGCCGAGTTGATCCATATAATAAAAGACGCGAGGGGGATGGTGCATACTATTTCCGTCATTGCGAGTGCCATGAGACGGAAGTAGCGACTAGCGCTAAGAGACTTGTTGGATTTCAGGAAATGGGTGAACTGTGCATGGCGAAGGTAAAAGGCCTTCAATGAAAGACCTGCGGGCGGTAAGAACGCGGACAGCAAACCACCAAGAAGAGGCGTACCACTATAGACCGAGGATACAAGGCCAATAATTATAGGCCAGCTATCGGACAAGAAAAACGCTGGTAGCGTATTGTAAATGAAAGGGTGGCAGCCGATGTCTTCGTAAATATCAAAGCGGTGGCCTTGTACGACATATTCTGTAAAAAGATCAGTAGGATGCGTGCTGTGGATGAAAGCAGTGCACTCACGAAGCGCAACGACTGTCATAGGGAAAAGTACGCAAATTAGGGTGTCAATAAGGACGGCTCGCCGTTTCTAAAACCAGATTAACGAAGGAACCGAGGCTCCCTTAATGTTGACTCGTACCCCTTCATCCGTGAGTACGACCGCGTGGGTTTTCGCAATGTTATATAGTCTACGATTAATGCATAATGATGCAGCAGGAATGCCCACTGAGGCACCGAGCATTATTCGAATGGCTTCAGAGTTTCAGGAAACGAGCAGCGGAAAAACGGCACAACATCACTTACAAATGTCACACCAGATGGGTGCCCAGTTGATGGCATTGTTATGCCAAACGATGGAGTTGATGAACTGGTTGAGGCAAGAGAGTGCCGCCCAAATCATGTAATAGCACGTTCCAGAATTCCACGCTTGTAGATGCCATGGAAGAGGTATCAGCGCGACTACAAAGCCAAGGAAGGCGAAGAGGGGGTAAAGAGGATAGTTCAACCCAGTCATGATGATGGTAGAGAAAGAGTAGAGCTGAATTGTGTGAAAGGACGGACACCGTAGGTTTATAGGAAACCATTTTTGAATTCAACGATGGGATAGTGGGCCAACAGTATATTACGGCAGTGGACGTTGGTGCAAACTTTAATTAATAGCACGGTGCCGGAAATCGGAGCCATCCCGCCCCCACTTCATCTCCTTGAACACGAGTTCACACTCATTCTTACTTCGGATTTACTTGCGTTTTCTCCCACCTGCCCCTCCGTGATTGTATCGTGGACTTGACTGTGATTCGATCCCGCATATTCTGGAAAACAGGTGTAAGACAGGATAGGGGACTTGTGAAATGTAGTGTAGTTGGGTTTAGAGCCCGCGCGGCTCTCTAATTTTATTACGTACCATCTCCCTCTGATGATTCGAATCAAACGTTTCGTTCCATGTCTCGCATTATGGGTTCATGAGTCATGCAAACCACTACTAATGGGCGCGCGGTAGCCATCACAAGAATCAAGTGACGGAAAGCAGACTGGCAGTTTGTCTGTATCGACTATGGTCGGTGGTTCTATATTTTCTAAGACAAATATCAACCCTGGTCTCACGAGATGGACCAGCTCCACAACAAATAAGCGAATAGAAGATAAATAATGTGTCAAATGGTAGTAAAGCCAATGAGCGAATGCAAAGTCTTCGTCAAATGAGGTACACCATACGGGTATACAGTGAAGGGACTTGGAAATTGTAGGGACAGTGATTGTATCGTCAGGTGCGAACGAACGAATGGAGAGAATACACAAATGATAGTAAAGCCAACGAACGAATGCAAAGTCCTCGTCAAATGAGGTATATCATACGGGTACAGTGAAGGGACTTGGAAAATGTAGGGACAGTGATTGTATCGTCATGTGCGAAGTTCGAACGAATGGAGAGAAGGCTGATATACAAATGATAGTAAAGCCAAAATACGAATGCAAAAAGTCCTTATACTGCATCCATACCCGAAGGGCGACCATCACGGTCACTTCCGCGAGAGTATTGCTCTTGGTATTTGAAATAACTTGATGCTGGAGGGCTGGTATACGGGAGAGCCGGCGCACAGTCCGACTTGAGCAGGCCAGTGCCTCTGGCTAGGTCGATATGGCAGGGAGACGTGGAATAAGGTATTCCGGTGGGGGTTCCCTTTTTCTTGTTGCACAAATCGATGTTCGAGGACTGGGGCATGTTGCATGGTCTGATCAAATATGTCAACAGACTGGGAGGAGCTATAACCAAAAAAAAATAGATACCTCGCTACCGTAATTAGTGGGTAGAGACCTGGAGATGGTCGATCTTGAACCCGGAGGACGTGACGCCGAATCCATCTAAAAGTAGCACCGTACTCTTTGACTGCGTCTCGGCCGAACGCAAAGAAAAGGAAGAAGAAAACGGACGCAATCGGTATCGTGAACCAAAGAGCGAATGTCCAGGCTAATTCCGAAGGAGGGATAATGGCAAGGGGGAAATAAGCGACTTCTAGCCAGTCAGAATGCACATTCTCCCAACTAATCCAAGGACGAAGGCCTGGTCGCATGGTCCACCACATGTTGAGTATAGTCACCAGCAAGCCAAAGAACATCTCGACGATTGCCATGCTCATAAGGCGAAAATAGCGACTAGGGGTGAGTGCTGAACCAGTATTTTTGAGATGCTTGGAAAATAATGCCCGACGTTTCCAGAAGTGCGAGAAGGCGGTTGCTAGGCATTTGTAAGGTCAGAATGGATAGTGCTGTAAGGCAGAAAAATATTCACCTGCGAATATGCCAGCGCCAAGAGAGAAAACCAATGGCGGAACCCAAATCAAGAATATAGAAGCAATAGACACATAGATTGTCGGACGACAACCAAAACCTTCGACGATATCAAATCTGTGTCCCTGGACAATGTATTCTGTGATATGTTAGGTAAGACAATGATATGAAAGGCACGGGACGCACGCAAGGCCATGTATATGAGAGGAACTCCGAAGCACAAAGCAGACTCCACTATCTGGCGACAACGCTTTTTAGAGTGCGTCAGGCTGAGGTCTCGAATGGCGGCTACACGTTCAAGATGCATGCAAAGGCTGAACATGGCAGCAGGTAGCGCTACCGTGCTGCCAACTTCAAGCTTGGTCGCTGTAGAAGGATGAGCAAAAAAATAATACAGGCGGCGAGCAGCTTACTGATATCACACCATACAGGAGCAATATTTTGAACAGTATTTCCCCAGATGATGGAATTTATACCGTAGATGATGTTGCCGACGAAGAGCCACAAACTGATGGCGATGGTTGAGATGTTACCAGCGCGCCAGTGCCATGGAATGGGAACTAGTACAAGGGTGGCACAGATAAAAGCAGTTGCTGGTAATTGGACGAACATGATGTGAGGGATGCAAGGTGAATTTTCGTCGCAGAGACATACTGTTATATAACAATGAAAGATTGTGGATCTCCGCTTCAGGCGAACAAGTGGGATGTGGAGTCTCGACATTGACGTCACGTGCATTCACAATGGCGATATTTTGACTCCGCGAATATTATACAAGTAATGCGAGATCGACCACTCTTTCGGTATTCGCGTGCCTGACTACTTTCCTATGTAGCAGTATGATAGCCTTAATTACTGATTTGTCTTCTATGGTCTTCTCTGCAGACTGAAGATCGTGGTTCTAACTGTCATCGATATCATTCTTACGTATACGGACGTCATAGCGATCATTCAATGCTCTTACTTTCATATTGCTGTCATTTGACACCACGTTACGATACCCTGAACTTCATCATGATTCTTGATGCATCATCTCAAACGTAAACCGAT